CATTAGCAATGTACATGAAATTTGAAAGAAAAATGTTGATATTTCAGAATAAAAAGACAAGTGAATTGACACTATACTTGTCTTCGTAGTTGATAAAATGATATCTGTATTTACAATTTCTCTTCCCCTAAATTGTAAATACAGATATCACACAATCACTTTCAAGAACATGGAAATTGTTACATTTTGAAAACTGTATATCAGTCAATCCAAAGATAGAATGAGGCAATACCAATGCATTAAATTGGAAATCCTCTTTCAACTGTAAACAATTTACAAACAGAAAAGAAACCTTTTCATCTCATTCTGATCAACCTGAACTATCAGAAAGATGTCTCTGTAAAATGAGATGGAAAATTAAAAAGAAATCCAGATGTGGCAGAGTGTGTCTAAATCAGCCTATACATAGTAGGATGCAACCTTCATCAATTGGGTTTTATAACAAAGCTTATTTCTAAATCATTCAACATTCAATGGAGAGAGCAGTGGCAATTCAGTTGTGAACAGGAACAAGGTAATGGGCAATCTTCATTACACAAGTTATAATGACAAAGCAATCAGTAGAAAGCATCTTTAATCAGCCAGCATTCAACAGAGAAAATATTGAGCAATTGAAATGAGTATGGATCTACTATAGTATGGTATTTCATATGGTTTATTATTGCAGAGCAGTCAGAAAAAAGCCACTACATTCAGCATAGAAAACAGTGGGCAATTGAGACCTTGAAGTTTTGGCATATTATCACGTTTGTAGAGGAGTCTTATTTTGTTGAATTATTGAATATGCAAACACAATTCTACAGAGTAGACTTATTAAAGAAGTTTGGTGGAAGTGCTTGTAGCCCATTATTAAATGTTATCATAATGTAGCAATCTATCGGAACACTTGTAATCCAAATATTTTGCAATATTCATTGACATTTGGACAACAATGATGACACTTTTTTTTTCATGAGGATGGAGCACTGTGCTAGATTTTAGAATAATTCCAAAAGTATTAAGTGATTTTATGGTAATGGTAATATTATCAGTTTCCTCCAAGGAAACATTTGACATTCATTGACTGAGAAGCCAGTACTGCTCTTGATTAAAATTTATAAAATCTTTCTCTTAACTATTTTCCTGGAAAATTGTTTTATCTCAAATCCAGTAGCTGTTATCACCCTTTTTAATAGTGATTGGGAAGGGTTCCTGCATAATCTTTTATTTGAAGTGGGAAAAAATTGTCTGGTCACATTCAATGCCACAAAGACCAAACTAGTGACATTCCATCATCACCAAGCAGACCCAGAACTCTTACTAATCACAATGAACAGGTGTTCTCTCTGGGAGGCCCCATGCACTGAGTGCCTATTATGACTTAAACTTACCCCAGACCTCAAGTGGAACTTGCATATATGACCCACTACTAAAGATACTGGAAAAATGGTCAAATCCTTATACTGCTCCAATAAGTACCTAAGTCCTCCTCCTCCTCCTCCTCCGAGATCAAGGTTGAAAATTGAGTACTGCTGCCATTTTAACTGTGCTGATGATACCTTGCTGCCAATCTAGTACTGTGCTTAAAGTCGTGAACTGCAAAGAGCTTACCTGAACAATTACCATGAAAGTATTTATAGAAAAAGCACAAGGAATCTACATTACAGCAATAGGAAAGGGACTAAAGTTAAGATGCCAGGTCAGGACCAAGAACCTTGCAGATTTTTCTTTGTATTTTATCAAAAATCTCTAAATACATAGCATGAGCACCAAACCAGATGTGGCAGCAATATTCAAAGCAAGGGCCAATGGTAGACTAGTGGCTCATTCTGCCATCTTATTTTGCTTCTTCAAAAACAGATCCATTAATGCTCATTGTGTTCACAAAAAACAGAATGGTATAATTATTATAAAGCATTTTTTTATGAAACATAATACATAGTACTACACTACACATCTCCCAGCATATTCCAAGAAAGGTTAAAAAGACAAGTATATTAATATCAATACCAACAAAAATCAAAAGCAGTTCATCAAGAAAAAAGTTTTGAAAGTTTAAATTTGCAAATATTTTCTACCAAGAAAATTATTTCCAAGATTAGATAAAGAAAAACAAGGTTTGGCTTTCAAACATCAAAAGTAACAAAAATTAAAATTCATATAAGAGAATCTAGAAAAAATAAAAATGTATTCTTATACTTTCATTTATACTTATATTTTATACTTTTGTTTTTATTTGGAGGTTCACTATTTGCCTATAGCTTGGACCCTAACAGGTGCTACTATATTGGGTCAGGGTGGACCTAGGAACAACAGTAATTAAGAGATGAAGCACTTAATGAAATAACCATCAAACATTTTATGAAATATGAGAATACTGAAGAAGATAGATTTAGTATAGATAGAAAAACTCATTCCCACTTTATACAAGTGTAAACGTACAATGCAACCCTTGCCCAAGCTGTCCCATGTTGCAAAAACACACACAACAGATGAAAACAAATGCACACATCATTGAACAAAGAAAAGTAATAACATTTAAAACACAATGAAAATTGTCAGTATGCAGCAGAATTCATTTTACAAAGGGCTGAAGGATGAAGGCTGTCCCTCAAGTGATTTGTTCTAGAAGTAATAGAACCAAAATAATCATGAGGATAACAGATCAAACAAGTGATACATGGGATGTGTGCTGTCTTTCATTGTTTTTTGCTCTGCTGCAACAAGATTTAAAAATGTCTTCCAAGAAGGGCAGCAAACAGCCAACTACTTTAATTAGTAGAGATTACAGAACATTTTACAAAAATAATTACCTTGCTACATTATTGCAAACTGAATTTGTTCTACTTTAAATTATTTTTACTGATAAAAAAGTCAATTTTGGTAATATCCTCATTTTTCACTGCATTATCATATAAATCTTTTCAAAACATTTACTAAGTGTCAGATTTTTATGAACTTTTAAAATCTGTAGTCAGATTACCACTTTAGGGAAAACTATCATTGCATGGTACATTGTAAGACTAAATTTACTATTTCAGCAATGTTATAGACAAGCGTATGGTTGTAAGAAAGAAATACAACAACAGCAGAAATAGATATACGCGATTTATTTCAATAGGAACGTGTGGTTTTGGGACAGCTACCTTGTGGTATAGTTCATAAGCCGGCTGCCAACCTGGGTTGATCTCTCATAGTAGTTCTCGCTGGTTGGCGTGGCGTGACGCTACTGCTGCTGCTGGCTGCCCAGACCGACGGTGACCGATCTCTTCCCTGGCCTCCTGTTGACTGCTCTTGTACTTCCCCGTATGACCCCTTTTATGGCGTTTTTTTATGGCTTAAAAAGCTCATAAAACGACGCGAGTATAATTAGGAGGGAAGCATTTTTATTGGTCGAAAAATAGAAACACTTTAAAATATTACTTTATTTTTTTGACGGAACTCTCAAGGTCGGGCTTATGCGTAGTTTACGATAATGGTCATTTTGTGACGGGGCCTTGTCCCGTTCACATCCGGCTCTCGCTCTTGAGTATGTTAGTTTATTTGCCTGTAAATCGGCCGAGATATGTCTTATTTTATTTTATAACAGCAATAAAGGAGTTGACTATAGTCTGGATCATAGAGTCAATGCAAATGATCCTTTCCTTAGCTGCAAAGTATGTGTTTCACCAGGGCTACATACAGTTTGGAATTCAGTTTTCCTTCTCCTAGATCAGTTGCCACTCAAGGCTATAGAGCCCAGTCTGTCCTACTATTTACCCATAACTAGGGGGAGAAGAATTGGATTCATACTTTTCCCAAGGGTATTAGCATGTAAGTAAATTGTAATAAACTCAAGTGGAATTCAAACTCAACTCTCTGATTCCTCAAATCCTAGTTGCAATCCATTACACTCTACTGTGCTCTCTCTAATCCAATTATATTTATTATTACTAAGACTTCAAGTTTCCATCAATTTTCTTATTGTTGGGTAGATTTCAGCTATACAATTCCAAATGCATTATAGGTATTAACAGAAACCTCTCTTCTTCCTCCTTAGCTTCATGTTATTGTTTTCTTATTTCAACAGTTTATACAAAGAAACATGTTGCAAAAAATTCTTGAAAGTTTTATTTGTAAATTTGAAAGCTTTATATGCATTTTGTTAGGCAAATAACAAAGTGGAAAAAAAATTGCGTGACACATTTCACCCTTTAGTACTTCATGAAACTAAAGTAATGATTTTGTTAATGGAATTATATATGTATAGGAAGTGTGGGCGAATATAAAAACACAAGCATTGGTTATAATTATGCACAGACAGACAACACGGAACACGTTGGAATGCTGAAATTTTAAATTTTAAACCTTTTTTTTGTGTATATCTAGATATTTTCATTCAGTTTCCTTATGCTTTTGTTACTTTTATTATTAAGTATTCCACATTGAGATATTAAAAAATCTGCCAGGAAAGGTTTAATGTCGTAAGAACATGGATGCAATTTTACTGTGGATGATCTAGAAATTACCTTTCTTGGTAGATCATTTATTACAATATGGGATTCTTTCTCTATCCCTTCTATGTATCATTTACTTTCATGATGTTGGCAATCATGCCTCTCCACAATTTCCTATCCTTTGTATCTTTTAGAAAAAAAAAAAGACAAAATTTACTATTTCTCCTAAGCCCTGTTCTACCATCCATTTACATAACCTCGTTAGGAAGATTATATGCCATTTTCCTATGTCCTTCTTGCCTTCAATATGTCCTGTGAGTGTCAAATTTTCTGAACCCTCTATACATGATAATAAAAGAAATAACAAAAACATATTTATAATAAAATTATGTAAGTGACTGTAACAAATTTGACAGGAATTCAAACTCTGTTCTCTAAGTACTTATTCCAAGCCACTTTCCATTTTACACCATCTGTCCTGAAGGCAGAAAAAATGCTTTTAAAATTTAGTGTTTTTAAAATTTGGCAAACTATTTTTTTTTACTGTTTTTATATCTAACAAAAGAAAATAAACCATGAACTCACAGTCAGCTGATGATAGAGGTAGAATAAAATGTTCTCTTCTAAGACCATTGTTGTTGTTATCAAGCCTTTCATTTGATTCTTTTTCATAGGTGACTGGAGTGATCAACTTCCTCCTCAATGCATCATACATAGCCTAAAAAAAAAAAAATAAAGAAATGGTACAATAAAAATAAGAATTTAAAAACCTTGAAGTGCAGATATTGGTTTCAAATCAATTCTCAACTCTGTATCTATGCTATTGACACAACCTTTTATTCCTGTTTTAATAATAAGTCTGAGTGGTTTGATAAGGTTAAAATAGCAGCTAATCTAAAAAAATTACCTATATTTTGTTGTTAAATAAGGCAAGGAATGGCTTGTTAATTTTAACACCTCCAAAACAAAACTGCTCTCTTTTAAGCATCTGAGAGAACATGGTTGATGCTAACCTCCAGGAACGTGACTCGTTGCATCTTCTCGGACTAACGTTTTCTGCTGACATGAAGTGGAAAGATTAATTGCTAGGTCTGCTGCTAGGAAAGTTGGTTCTCTGTATAGCACTAGACAATTTTTCTCAACAGGATTTATTTTACATATTTATAAGTCTACCATTAATCCTTGCTTCAAATGTTGCTGTCACATCTGATCTGATGCTTCTGCTATATATTTAGAGATTCTTGATAAAACCTGAAGAATCATCTGCAATGTTATTGATCTTGACATGTCATCTTGACTTCAGTCTCTTTCCCACTGCCATAATATAGCTTCCCTGTGCCTTTTCAATAAATATTTTCATGGTAATTGTTCTGATAAGCTTTGCTTTATGGTACCTTGACTTTATGAATTTAAGTATAGTACTAGATTGGTAGTAATGTCTCATCATTTTACACTTGAAATGGCTGCTAGATGTAATTGTAAGTTTTATACTAACAGTTTCTTCTATTGCACTTTTTGCTTGTAGAATTCTTTTCCAGCTTCTTGCCTCACAGTCAACTTTGATCTTCAAAAATTTTAATGCAATGTCAATCATTATTTTCTACCTTCTTAATTCTTGTTCTTTTATTGTTCTCTCTCCTTAATAGTAGTTTTTTTTTTGCCTCATATTCTCTAACTCTCAATAACCCCTTGCATCTTGGTGGCTTTATTGCTTTGCTTGGAATGAAATAATTAAAAAAAATAACTGTTGTTTTCCAGGAACAATGAACTCTAAACTTCAACATTGTTAAACTTTTATACAAATAAAAAACAGTTCTACAAGTTTCCTCTCAAATATTAACAACATATCTTTACTACTATTTGAAATTAAAAAGATGACAACACAGAATTATTTTAAACCTGTAATTTTTGACATTGTCTGGATTTTTCCATGAGCTTTTCAGTAACTTCACTGTATTTTTTCTTTGTAGTTTCCATTTCTTTTCTGGTGGCTATACAAAAGAAAGAACATTAATTTGAGTACAATATTTAACAAATTCAGTTCCAATTAGACTATAGTGAATTATACAGATTTCAGATTCAGTATTACCACCAGAAGTAAATCCTAGTATGTTAGTACTTTAACTGATAAGAGCTTAACAAAGAAAAACTTTATTTTAAATAATGATTTTTTGCCATTCCTAGCTGCTTCTTGGATCTGCTTTACAATTATAAAAAAAGATTCTGAACTCATCATTCAAATGAATGAATGTGTTCTGCCAGCCCTTTTTTGTCTTTGCAAGAAATTTTATTACAATTTCTCTCATACAAGTCACAACTCCTATACATAACTAGATAAACCAACCTAGTTTTGCTAAACCACAATTACTAAACTATTATGTGATGACTTATGCACAAACTATTCAAAGTATCACTGCCCAGATTTACAGGTAAATCTTACCACAAACTCTAGCCAAGTTGTCACAAAAGTCCAGTCAAAGAGACTCTTCATTTAAATGTTGGTAATAAACTTATTTGTTTTTATTTCAACTTTTCCTTTTTTTCTATTACAACTGTTTCCATCTCATCACTTCTGCATTGATAACCTTATATCCTTTCCAAAACAAACTAAAAATTACATGGTTACATAATTATAGCAAATAGAAACTACATGGCTACATAATTATGACTAGTGATTTCTGTGAGAATACGCTATAGAAAATATTTAGTTTCAGACAACGAGTCATCATCTTATATATTTTAATCTTAATAATAATACATATTGCTGATCACATGACACAAATCACAAGATTAATTTGGCCAGGAAACATATATAAAGCAACCAGTAAGCACTGATGAATAAAGTTGTCTTTGATGGATATTCACAGAACATTCATCTATCCCTGTCATTTGAGTGCCAAGTATTTCAGCACATGAGGTTGGGCACTGCATCCACAAAGTTGGCAGTGATCACACAGCTTGAAATAAAGAAAGCTTGTTATTTGACCAAAATTATGTGAAATAAAACCTTATCCCTTGTTTATACAGACAGGATGACTATTCTTTCTAAATTTAAGTTAAAAAAATATTAATAATTTTCTTATGTAAGAACCAAAAAAATTACCAAGTGTATTAATGTAAACTTCAGAAGTAAACTATCATCCTCATCTTTATTATTATTACAGCATTTTGGCTTTTGTGCTCTCTGACCTTCATCAGGTGCTTGTCAATCCAGGTAACCTTCTGGCCAAGCAATAACTGAACAGTAGTAAATAAGAAGTAGACAAGATGTCCCTAGATATAATCAATGAAACAAGAACAATTTATCCTTATAGATTAAATAAACAGTTCAGTTCAAAGTTCCTTGGAGGTTATCAAGAACCTGATGAAGGCTAGAGGGCACAAAGGCTGAAATGTTGTGATAATAACAACAAAGATGAGGACAATAGTCTGCATGTAAATAATGATAACTCAGCATCCCAGAAATTCAAAAAGCAAAATCCAAATAAATTCTTTATCCAATGTTAACGTTTTTCCTCCAGTAACTATTATAACTTTTCAAACAAAAGAAAAAAAATTACATGTAAAAGACACTTACTTGTATGCTGTAATTTCAAGGCTTGGTAGATAAGGAACAACATTCATATTTATGATTGTATGATAGGAAGACTAAAAGTCTTCAAGTTTTCTCTTCTTTGTTATAATAAAAACTTACAATGAATATCAATGAAAAAAAAACAAACAAACTTAGAACCATATAAAATTTAAAGAATATAATCTCTATGGTGTGAATACCATGAACAGAACATGTGAGCAACAGTGAAGTTCTAGAGACAATGGGACAAAAAGGACACTAAAGCTTAACATCAGAAAGAGACAATTGAGATTTCTGGGGCACATCATGAGGAAAGAGAGCTTGGAAAATGTGATACTCACAAAATAGATTGAAGGCAAGAGGGCCAGAGGAAAATAACACACAATCTACTTGGTGAGCTTGAGTGAATGGATGGCAGAAAAGAGTTTGGGAGTGATGGCACAAAGATAAAATGTAATAAAAGCTACAAAGGAGAGAAAATTGTGGAGAGCTATGTTCCCCAAACATACTGAAGGAACACAGCACATAGAAGAATCTGTACTGAAGAATCTGTGTGTTTAAAACAAAATCAAATAATAACAGGTTCTAACAAAACTAAGCAGGTTTTTCATAGAGTGGATATATATGAATACAATATTGTATTTCCCAATTTTCTCTATTTTGCAGATTGATTTGTTTTCTATGGTTTATCAACTCTTTGCAGGTTATTTAAAACTGAAAATATTTTTAGATTGTAAGATTTTTTTTTTGTAGATAATGTTTTAGTGATACAAATCTTAATAATTAACCCATAGATGGAGAGAGAAGAGATGGATTCATACCTTTCCAAGACTATTTGCACACAAGTGAATATAAAAAAACTCAATGGGAATTGGCTGTATGATTAACAATTCCAAGCCATTATATGTTAAACCACCTGCACATCCAGTCTTACAACACCTGTTATTCCCAAGCGGTCACCTATCTAAGTACTGATCAGGCTTAACTTTGGTGATCATATGGGAACCAATGTTTCAATGTGTGTGGCCATAAGCCTTATCTTTTCAGATGTGTAGTTAATATCAGAAATAAGCAAGCAATAACAATTTTAAGAATGTTATTAAGGATCTGTTTAAATAATTCAGCAATGATTTTCTGAATTACTTATACGGATTCTTAATAGCTTTCATAAATTTTTTATTGCTTGTCAATTCTGATATTAGCTACAATACAAGCCTGCAGAGACATAAATGGTCTAGCTGGCAAAGAATAGGAACTTGTCAATCTGAGGAAGAGCCTAGATGAAACATCTTCCAAATATAACATGGAGATTAAAAAAAAAAAAAAAAGCTAATAGCAAACAATGAAATAATCATTTCAAGCAAGATAAAAACTGTTGGTTAGGAACTTAAAGTAGTAGTGAGCCAATTTGAATATCTTGGCTTGATTATCCGCAAGATAGGCTCCAGAAGAGAAATAATTTGAAGAGTAGCAAAAACAATGGTAGTTGTCACAAAACTAAGAATCAAATGGAAAGAAATCAAAGATGAGATTATTGCATGCATTGGTCCTCTCAATAATTCTATATGACTACGATTCTTTGACATTAACAGAAATTAAATGCTAGAGGACAATCCTAAGTAGACTGCAAAAAAATTGACACAATGAGAGACACAAGCAGACAAGAAATAGGCCCGGTCACAATCACAAATCTCGTACCCCTTTAGGTCTAAGGGGCACCAAATCTACTGCAGCCATAGCAGCAATGGTATGTCTTGAAAAAAAAACAGCCTGACAGAGCCCAAATCTCTAGATGACTAGCTTTATCAATCATTACCGTGAATGTGCATGAGAATTAACTAAAGAAAAGTTTATGCATAATGTAAAGATTTCCAATGAAAAATATAATGTATGTTTAATATTTATTCGAAAAGAACATGAAAAAAAATGAAGATTTTTTAAAGATTTCAAATCAGCAACTATATTTGTCAAAACATCACAACTATAAATCAGAAGACTATAGAAGACAGACTATACTTTGTTTTTACTTCTCCTAGATTGGTTGTCAACCAATAGGGCTCAAGCTGTCCCACTATTTACCCATAGCTGGGGGGATAAGAGATGGATTCATACATTTCCTATGGGTGTTAGCACAAAGAAGTGAATGTAATGAACTCTGCTCTTAGGTTCTTCAATCTGAGTTGCTATCCATCACTTCACTGTGTATACAGTGGAAAACCTCATATCCACTGTCAAGAAGAGAGAGTTAAAATGATATGGACATGTCATAAGAGTGAACATTCTTTCCTTTGCCAAGTACCCCCTTAGGTAAAATAAGAGGAAAACAAAGGAAAAAATGGATTGACAATATCACTGATTGGAAGAACATTCAGACAGACTCAGATACTGGCATGCAACCAAGGCAAATGGAGGGAGCTGGTCAGGTGCACAGTGACTCTATGACTACACCCAGTTATGAGACTAAAGATGATGATGAAGATAAGTAATTAAAACTTCTGTGATGAAAAATGTTTAAAATCAATAAGTAAAAGGATACAATTCAATTCAGACTGAATTCTTGAAATAACTTCTTCATAGTATTTTTCTAGCTGTGATGCTTTTTCTTTCACTTTGCTAGCAACATATTCCTGATATATTCTTTCTTGGTGGGACTGCAGCAGGAAAAGAAAGAATTCATGCCAAATAGGAAACATACAATAGACAAGGAAAAAAAGTAGTCAAGCTTAACAATCACAAGATAAAGCTTTGTCATTACCATGTAAGTATATATTAGAAATATTGGGCACCTCGACGTGATGTAATGGTTAAGAAGCTTGTCTTGCTAGATCAATTACGACTGAGTAGTGAGTTCGATCCTCACTGGGTACCCCATACTTTCGGCCTTGTGCTACATCTAAGCCGGGCTTAGAAAATCGCTATATTAGAAATATATTGTAGATTGATGGTCAAAAGGTCACCCATCTAGGTACTGACCAGGCTTGATGTTGCTTAACTTGGGAAGACTGGGGCTTCAACATGACGTGGCTGTAAGCTCTTTACACCACTCAAATATCCAAGCTTATACCACCTGGTATTCCCAAGTTGTCATCCATCTAGGTACTGACCAGGTTCAACATTGCCTAACTTAGGTCAGGGGTCGGCAACTCATTCGACCCCACGGGCCGGATAGTGTTAGAATGACGGGTCGTGGGCTGGACGAAGACCATTAATAAAAAATTAAGGAAAATTACATATGCAGACCCCTGTCAACCTAAATATTTAAAACCATAATGAAAATAAACATTGAGAAATCAGAAAAACGAAAGAAATTCTAAAATTAAAAAACACCTAACAAAAATTAATATTTCAAAGTGAAAAAAATCAACCAAAGTGAAATGGATGAAATTATGACGTGTAGGTTTGAAACCGTTATTGAAAATTGTCCCACAAACAAACCACACACACACATCAAACAAAAACGAAGCACATATACCTATACATACGAGTACAAATAGTTGCAAACATATACACTTACGTACGTACACATGCGGTATCATCCACACATTCATGAGGCATGTATGTATAATGCGCGTATGTTTCAACTGTCTTTAGATTTCTGCTACCTCGCATCATCAGTCCCTCCCTGGCCTCTTTCATTTTATCATTCCTTTCGCTTCTGTTATCTTTTAATGTAGCCAAGTGTCATAACAAATATGTATCCATTATTTGACATTAAACATAGGCAACGCAACTTGCTAAAATAAGTCTCATGAAAGATAACTGGCAGATAGTCTAATATTTTTAGTGCACTGAGATGTGTAGACATTCTATAGAAAATAACATATAACAAATTTCATTTGAAGGTCGTCTCTCATGTTAAAAATAGAATTATTAGTAATCAGGCTCGCAGGCTGGTCAAAATGCCTTCGCAGGCCAGATCCGGCCCGCAGGTTGCCGACCCTTGACTTAGGTGATCATATGAGAACTGGTGTTTCAATATGATATAGCCATATGCCAATATATTGTAAAAATCCCATTCAGTTTACTTTTAGTATCTGAACAAGCATCAGTAAGAAATATAAAAATTTTCTCTAAGCTGTAGTTAGTTTCACTGTTAACCATAGTCTATTTCTGTTAAATACATCCAGTTGGATCAGTCCAAAGTAAATGGTTTTGTCTTAGAAAAAAAAGGTACTATTTGTGCTGTTTGTTTTGTTATAAACTTCATGTGAATTTTGACAAATATCTACAATTTCAGAAGATTGCAATATCACATAAAGAAGCTGTATCATATTGTTTTCAATAGATATAGGCTTATAGGTAAATCTTTATACTGGATAATCTGATATATACTGAAAGTCAATAAACTGTGAAAGAGAAAAAGATTATTAATGATGGATTAATTCAGTCATTTTCCATGGTTTATCAACACTTTATATGTTATTTAAAACCAGAAAATATTATTTTAGATTGTAATAATTTTTTTGGAGATAATAATGATTTAGTGATAAAAGTCTTACTAATTAACCCATAGCTAGGAGAAGAGGTGGATTTGTACCTTAAGGGTATTTGTATGTAAGTGAATATAACGAACCTAACTAGAATTGGAACCCAGCTTTCCAATTAACAATTTCAAGCCATTATGAATAGCACCACCTGGTATTCCCACGTGATCATCCAAGATGTTATCAAATACCTATCTATAAATCAATTTTAAAAGATAAATATTTAATCCTGCAATAACTTTCATGTGTATGAAGGAAATCAATGTATAAATTTTTAATTTAATTTTCATTCTCCCAGTAGTAAGATGGAAAATCTTATTTACAGGCTTACTTTTACAAAATATAACATTGCAATAAAATAGAAATTAATTTTGTTGCTAAATTGAAAAAATTATTTTATCTTCAAAATTTAAGTATCATCATTTTTATGGTGTATTTTGAAATAAAAAAAAAATCATAACTGGTTTCTTGAAATAAAAATAAAGAAAATGTAAATTATTCCCTATCTTAATAATTTGGTTAATTAATCTAATATTTTATATGCTCCTCAAATACTATAACAATATATATTCTCGAGTCTTAGTATAAAAATTTCAATTTTAGTGTGTGCATGTTATATAATCTTGTGGAAAAAATAACTTCAAATATTTATTCAAAATAGAAAAAGACAAAAAGTATAGATATACAAAACTTAGTAATTTTGTTTTTAAATGACCAGTACTCAAAATAAAATGTGCAATAAGAAAACTGATGAGAAAATTTATACTAAAATATGACAAAGTAACAATTTGAGAGTTGATTGATTGATTGATTGATTGATTGATTGATACATTTTTTACAGCTTATCAACCCTTTACAGATTATTTTAAAGCCAGAAAACATTTTTAGATTGAAAAAAAAAATTTTTTTTTTTAGAGATAATGGTTTCATGATACAAGTCCTACTAATTAACCTATAGCTGAGGGTAGAAGAGGTGGATTCATACCTTTTACCAAGGATATTTGTGCATAAGTGAATATAACGACTCCAACGAGAATTGGAACTTGGCTTTCCGATTAACAATTCCGATTCATTACAGCACTTGGTATTCCTAAGAGGTTACCCATCTTGGTACTGACCAGAATCGACTTTGCTTAACTTTGTTGATCGTAAGGGAGACCATGTTTCAACGTGATGTGACCATAAGCCGATTTGAGTGTCATTTGCAATACAAGGGAGACAACTTTTAATAATAATGTATTATATTTTTGTTGCTTCCCTTCTTTTTTTTACTAATAATTGTTTTAAAAGATTTTAGACACAATCTTCAACAAAAATCAGATAATTTATTTGCATTTAAACAAAGGTCCTCAAACACGGTCTCTTTCTGCGGGGAAAGATTTTCATGATCTTTATTTTCATCAGATCAGTTTAATAAATTTGTCCCCTGCCTCTTCCATACTTTTGCGGTCACAGTATTGAGCTTGACTCTTTAATCAATTTTAATGTCAGCAGAGTTCTTCTCCAGACCACCACATATTCTTCATCTTAACAAGAGGGTACATTTATACTTTGCAACAATGTCTTAATGTATTTTTTAATTTTATAATAAATTAATAAATCTGACAACTCATATTAGGGAAAGCTGACCCCGGTCTCAGAAAATTTCCTCACCCTCCAATCTGTGAATGTGATGCAAACTAATTTTAATGTGAGAAAATAAGAGCTCATTTTCTCACATTAAAATTAGTTTGCATTATATTTACAGATGGGAGGATTTTCTGAGACAGGGGTGAGCTTTCTCTAATATGAGTTATTAAATTTATTGATTTATTATAAAGGAGTCAACTATAGTCGGACTCATTGAATCAATATGAACAATTCTTTCCTTAGCTGCATAGTATGTACTTCGCCAGGACTACATACAGTTTTGAATTCAGAGTTTTTCTATCACCTAGACCGGTTGCCACCCAAGGCTATGGAGCCCAGTCTGTCCTGCTATTAACCCATAGCTGGAGGGAGAAGAGATGGATTCATACCTTTCCCATGGATATTAGCATGTAAGTAAATGTGGTAAATTCAAGTTCATTACATTTATTATATACATTATCATAACATTTATTGAATTATCATTAAATCATAATACTGACCATGATCAATGTATCAAATCCAGTGGTAGAGAATCAACTCCTCCAGACTTAATGTCCTCTACTACTGTATTTGATGCCCTCCCCATTGATAATATCTTGGTGACAGGCCTACTTTTAACCCACTGCACCCCTCCTTCAGCAAATAATAGTCCTTTTGTGTTGAGACCCCTGATTTAAACTATTACACAAAGTTACTGAAAGAAGTGAGGATGCATATTGCATACACCAATTGTGGTTAGCATTACAAGCAAGTTTTCATTTTTCAGTTGCTTTATGTGATCCAAACAGTTATATTCTTATATTCTGAATGACAATGTCTGTCAGCTTACTTTAAAAAGACATTTATTTCAGGAAAACTAAACTGCTTTGGATATTGCAATCAAGGAAGAGGAACCAAATTCTAATCCAATGTTCATAATTCTCATCATGCTTAATATAAAGGACAATTAGACAAATGTTACATTTAAATAAAGATAGCAAAAATTGTTTACTTGATAGGTCCAAAATGAGAGAGCTCTTGTACATACTTCCATAATAATTTCTGGCTTTTGACCAGCAAGAACCATCTGTAACAAAATAAAAATAAAAACATTTAATCTCTACTTGTATAAATTTGTCAGATTTATTTCTAATATATACAAAATGAAGTGAATATTTAACTAAAAAATGGAGGTGTGAGTGGTGTAATATATAGCAGCTCAGAATTAAAAATTGGAAAGACAAGTTTCCAATCAAGTTCATTGCATTTACTTACACACAAACTCCCTTGAGAAAGGTATGAAAATCCCTCTTCTCCACCTCCAAGTTATGGATTAAATAGCAAGACGGGACTCTGTAGCCATAATTGGCAACCAGTCTAGGAGAATGACAACTCTGAATTCAAAACTATGACAACCAAATCACAAGTTGCCCTTTGGCAAGGTATAGAGCCTGGAAGTCACTCCTGCCAGGGTTTTTTTTTTTTTTAAGCGTTTCACCCCAAGCAAGGCGGGAAGCCACTAGAACGCAAGGGGTTACAGAAAATTTGGAGCAAGATCAGATAGGAGTGATAGAAGAAAGGATGAGGAGAAGGGTAGTGGATAGATCAAGGCAACTGGAGATGTCGATTGACATTACATTTGAATAGCTGGACATTATAGCTCTCAGGGAAACTGGAATAGGGAAGGGAGTTCCACAGGCGAGATGTGCAAGACATGAAGCTATTGGAGTAGAAGAGACAGCTACATTTAGAAGTTTCAACAATGAAGGGGTGAGAGTAGGATGCCAGCCTTGTAGGGCGCTTGAACTCATGAAGTCTGGGAACCAGCGAATGCAGCCCCTTGGAGCAATTGCCATGAAAGTATTTGTAAAACAGACAGAGAGAGGCGACAACGCGTCTGTGAGAAAGTGAAGATTATCAGTAGTAGGATGTTGGATGTAGTTAATGGCAAAATCTAATAAACTAGATTCTTGACATTGAACTGCAATGATGTCATGCAAAAAAGATTTTTCATACTAGACTATGGATAAAACTAAATTATTAAGAGTCAGATGGAAACTGTGAGAACACATGGTGTACTGCCTTGTGTCTCTGTGCAACGGAAAGCCGTTTGACCAGTGACAACCCTCATTTTTGAGGCCCTGAAGCTTGAACAGATACAGAGGGCCCTTTCACAACCAACAACAATAGATTCAAGGATCCAAATACCAAAATGTAGGCTATGAATAGATTTTGGTGAGCTTAATGAGCCTTTACAGTTTGGGATTCAGGCACTGCACGTACCCAAGGAAATTTTGAAATTTGACAGGGAAATTTTGAAACCATATGAAATGAGTATTAGAGCATATTCTAAAGCCAACTACTTCAACCCATTGGCTCATGATTCTATCATTAAAATTGGCCTTATTTTAATAATAATAATAAAAAAAAAAACACTAACATTGATTTTGCTGAAAAAATTCCCTCATTAAAAAATGTTGCTTCAGTTGCCACTTTTATATTACAGTCCCTGAAGCCTAAATTCATTAGTTTCATAGTAGATGCACCAGTGCCTATGATACACATAAACTAGCATCAGGAAGAACCATGTGGATACCATGGGGTGTCCTACAGCTTAGTTAACTGAAAAAAAAAAAAAAAAAAAAAAGTAATCAACAAATTTTATTATTTTGAACAGACTGCCATCTCTAATAACATTAACAGTATATTGGGAGATACTCTGAAAATAAAGTCATAAATATTTTTAGGATACAATTTTTCCTCCCACTCAGAGAATTTCAAAATGAAAATCAATCAGACAAAAAGAAAAAATTGATAAAGTTAAAAAGTGAAGAATGTTTTCAAAATAACAGATATAGAAGCACATCACTAATTATTCTTTGGCAAGTTTTACATATAACATCAAAAACAAATAAAATCAAATAAATTTACTTTTATATTTCATTTTGTTAAATAGAGAAATTTTAATAATACATCTTTCACATTTATTTTATTTATGTTATTTAGAAAGGGCAAGCTATTGTTTCAGGGATTATGCAGATTTCAGCTGGTTTCAGACTTCCTCAGTAACATTCAGAAAATAGTCAACATTCCACCTATCTGAATTCTTAAAATAATATTTTAAATTTTTAAATATGCCATCTTGAAAAATATGGTATGTTAACAAAAAAAAAAAAAACATAGAAGAAAAATGTCTAATAAAATATTAGTACTGTTAAAAAGCAAAAGACTAAACTATTCACTGGATGTTATATCCTGATTAAGATTGAAGCAAACAAAACATTATGTTCAAAATGAAAACAATAAAGATAATAGACTATAGCATTTTGACAGTAGCCAATTGATATAAAAATGCCACCTATATATATTCTACATTTTGCAAATGTTTCCTGTCAAATGAACATTTTAATATAACTTTGGCACCAAATTTAGTCATCAACGCCATCATAGAGGAAAGGATCAACAAAGAAGAAATGAAATTCATAGATACAAGATAAAGCTGACGACAATATTAAACAATTATGTATATATATAATCATTCAATTATATACATATATACAAATAATCATTCAATTTATATATATATATATATATAATCATTCAACTAATAATATCAAGATTGTATGTGTTTATAAACCCAGTAAATTTCAAAATAAGTTATTTCAGAAATCACTTGAAAATGTATCATAGATTTTAAATTTAATTCTATAATTAAATTTAAGGCTTAGTATCTTTTTTTTGAAACACTGTAATTCCTGTGTAATGATGGAACCATATTTTTAAATTAGTAATTGTGTGTGTGTATATATATATATATATATATATATATATATATATACACACACAATTATTCGACTAAATATGTATGCCACACCAGGAAATTTTTCTCCCCATAATCAATCCTTCAAATCAACCATTCGCCCTTGCATGCCATATATGGTCTGGAGCCCCTTCTGTTTGCCTTGGGGTTCTTGATAAGATCAAGAGACGGCCATGCAATGCAATTGGCCCTGATCTGCCATCTCATCTGCAGTTGCTCTCTCACAGACGTGCCGTCACCTCTGTCTTTTTTACAAATACTTTCCTGGTAATTGCTTCGATGAGCTGCTTTCGCTGGTTCCCAGGCTTCATGAATTCAAGCATTATATGTGGCTGGCATCCCGCTCTCACCCTTTCACGGTTGAAACTGTTAAATGTAGCCATCTCTTCTACTCCAATAGCTTCATATCTCGCACCTTTCGCCTATGGAACTCCCTCCCCTTTTCCTGTTTCTCTGATAGCTATAATCTCCAACTATTCAAATGTAATGTCAATAGACATCTCCAGTTGCCTTGATTTATCCACTATCCTTCTCTTCATCCTTTTCTCTATCACTCCTATCTGCTCTCACTCCAAATCCTATGTAACCCCTTGCGTGCTAGTGGCTTCCAGCCTTGCTTGGGGTGAAATGCTTTAAAAAAAAAAAAAAAAAAAAAAAATATATATATATATATATAGAAATAATTATTCAACTATATATATATATATATATAGAAATAATTATTCAACTATATATATATAGAAATAATTATTCAACTATATATATATAGAAATAATTATTCAACTATATATATATAGAAATAATTATTCAACTATATATATATATATATATATATATATATATATATTAATGTAAAATTAACTGTTAAAGCTATGACGTTTTTTTCATGTTTTTGATCTAAGGGAGTTAACTTTAATTTGTATAATTATAATTTTAAGCATTTTGAAACATTGTTGCTATACTCATAACTAATCTTATTTAGTGTTGGCTATTTGCTCCTTATATAGAGGGCTTTTGAATTTTTTTTTTTTTACCCCAAACAAAGTGATAATGCCATAAGAGACAAGTGGTCACTTGTCAAAAGAAAATGAGAAGAATTTCAAAGGAAGCAGAAACTCAATCCTAAAAAGGAAACAAGAAATAAGCTTTGTTCTAAAGACAGTGAAGTAGAGTGAACCATGTAATAGACAAACCTATCTACTCGTATTGAAATTTAATGAAACCCGTTTGAAATGTAAATATTGAATAATTAACAAAGATAAATACATTTTAAACAGTTATTAAAACAGATGTACTTAATGGGAGAAAGCAGAGAAATATATGATCACAATGAACAGCAATTCTAAAAGAAAAATAGAGATTGGTTTCCAGTTTTCATTGCTATTATAATCAGAGGTGAATTGCGAAATTAAAACATGCAACATGACCGATAAAGGAGGAACATTCCAAAATGAAGACAAAATCAGGCACATTAACAATGTAGGTATATTTATTAATATGTCCATCTTATTCTTTTCTACAATTATCCTTCCCCTTCCAGCTGTGGGGGTGCCCTGAAGAGAGAAGAACAAAAACTTGTTAGCTGTCTTATTTACACTATTCACTATGGACTACTGTTGCCATCACAATATATATATTTATATAAATAATATCTTGATAATTGGTAGGGATAATTTCAAGAAGGACATGAATCCAAAGAAAGCTCAATGTAAACAAAGCAATATAATAATCATCATTACAGACGATCCATATATATATATATATATATATATATATCCAAGTATAGGATTGGTGTATATGGAATAAATTCCAATAACCAACAAATACTATTCTTAAAAGAGTGCTTAATACAGAGTAGAGCAAATATAATTATTTATTCAAAAATTATAATATAAGTATGTTATAAAATCACTACAAAAATAGCCATTTTGTTTCAGCACTTCTGGTGTCTTGTCTATTGATAAGACACCAGAAGTGTTGAAACAAAATCTGTCTCTTTCTGATTATGAGTATAAGTGTCTATTTAGTTTCTATTTTCTTTAAGTTTTTCTTCATTGCTTACACATGCTACCCATGGTATTCTCAGCATCCTTCTGTAGAACCACATTTCTGTTGCCTCCAGTCTTTTCATCTGTGAGGAGATTGTGCAGTATTCATTGCCATATTGGAGAATTGATATTACATAACAGTTCAGTATATTTTTTCTTTGTTTCCAACAAACTTTTCCCATGAATTAATACTTTGCTTAATATATCTTTTGCTATTCCAATGCCTGTTTGGATTTCCATGTCACATTTTCTATCCTCTGTTAAAACACTTGCCAGGTATTGAAATTTCTATACTTGTTTGATGTTGACATCTTTAATTAGCACTTCATATCTTGGGCTTTTTCTCTTTCCAACAACCATACATTTCCTGACAGATGATGGTTATTTTTTTTTGTTTTCATTTTCCTATACTACTTTGTCTAAGAGGTCTTGCAGTTTTCTTTATGTGTTTGCCATTCACACAAGTTCAGGTAAGCGGTTGATGTCTTCCCTTATCCTTTTTACCTTCAATATGTCCAGTGAGTGTGAATTGTAAATTTCTAAAGAAATGACGGATTTTTTATTTATTAATCCAACATATTTTATTACTTAAAAATTGGGGGGCTATCAACTAAAAATAATTTTTAAGTAATAAAATCTTGTAAATATAAAATTATTCTTATAGTGAACTATAAAAGTATCTTTATAATCTTGTAAGTAAATAATTTATTGTTATAGTTAAATTAGACTGTAATCTTGTAAAAAAATTACTATTATTGTCCCAACATGTTTTTATTGTTATCATTTAAATAAACAATTGACTAAATGGCATCTAACATTTTTGTTGTCAATTCTTGAAAAAAAATGTATAACTAGTTTCATATGCTTACAGTCATATCATATTGGAAAACCAGTTCTCATAAGATCACCAATGTGACCACTTGGGAATACTAGATGCTGTAAGCTTGGTATCATAGATAACGGCTCAGAATTGGAAATGAGAGAGAGCCAAATTCCAATTTCAGACAGCTATAGGTTAATTAGTAAGACTGGTATCTGTAAACCATTATTATATCTCTAAAAAGTTCTAACAATCTACAGATTTTCTGGCTTTTGTGGGGGTATACTCACTCACACCATGTGGTCATAAAAATTGGGCTTGTGTTCATAAAGAAAAACAGAACAAACAAATGTACATGATAACAATGAACAAACACGTTAACCTGTATGGTAATTTCATACAATTTAATTTATGTATTTGCATGTGTTTTACATTACAACTGTGATAATGTTCATGTTATAAAAGTGAGTAAGTCACTTTGTAATATCACAAGTCCTATCACGGAGGATTTTTAAATACATGTTGTCATCCCGACAGTCCTTGGGCAAAGAGGTTGAATCTTACGTCTCTTAGCAGGATGTCTGTATTTCCAGCAGGGAACAGTCTTTGTTGGATGCTGGGAGTAATTTTATTACTTTTATTTTTTTTATTGAATGAGGTTTAAATTTTATTTTACTTTATTTATAATTTTCATTATTATTATTTTATATTTTATTTTTATTTATAATAACAATGTTCCCACACTTTAAATAACCTGCAAAAGGTTAATGAGTCAGAAAACAAACAAATCAATCAGTTTCCTATGTTATGATTTTATTACAATCATAAAAATTATAGAGGAAGTATATGATAATAGTTATGACAAGAGAAAAATATCTTTTTCACATGACAAGCCAAGAACCAGCTATGACTAGCTTTGACCAGCTTGGACAAGCTATGACCAGCTAAGACCAACTTGGACCAGCGGCCCAAGTGAAAACACTCACGTCCCCGCATTAAAAACTGACTCAGTGCGGGGGGGGGGGGTCAAGTAAATCTCTACTTGATCCTAATTTAAACTTTGCCAAAATATTATATGAAGGTATAATTACTTATGTTAAAAAAAAAAAATGAAAGAAAATTTTAAATATTCTTACTTTCAGCTTTGACTAAATTTTATTATAATATAAATCTTGTAGGCCAATTACTTTGTAGTTAGATAATAATACAAGAATACCAGCTGTGACATTTACAGATGTTACCCTTACCATTTACATGACTAACTGAAAAATTAGTCAATTACAATATCCATACACAAATGACAGATTTAGTATCTTTATGCACTATGTAAATATTTTATCCTGAGAATATCACAGATTAAAATATTCATATTTTTGTAACACTAATTTCAATTTCTATCCATATTATCTTTGCATTAAACAATTACAGTTCTGATTATGATCAATACTGCAATCAGATACTTTCAGATATGTATTTAATTGATTATTAATTGAGATTTTATGCTCTTAGCTTTTCCTCTATATTCTCATATTCCCAGGGCTTTTGTTATATGAAATATAAAATTCATTTTTATCTTTATCATACTTTCAACTTCTTTTTAAGATTGATAGGAAATATGGCATATAGAAGAAGAATATAAAAGTTGGCAAGAAGAAAATAGAGGCTATTTTAGAAAGAAAAGAAAAAAATATTGATGATATTGAATCTTTACATGAACAAATTGAATTAATGTGAAAAATAATTTTATTAGTTTAAATATATATCATGAGATACACTTTTAAAGGTATGCTATATTTATGGGTTAAAGTGCTGAATATCGGGGATAGAGCATATGTAAATATAAAAGTGGCCAGTGAAGTCAACACCCAGCAACAACAGTATGTTTCATGCTAGACCAATAATTGCAAATAAGCATGAAACAGACTATTGCTACAGGGTGTTGACTTCAATGTCCACTTTTATATATATATATATATATAAATTTCTTTGTTATCTGCTGATTATACAGTGGCTTAGTATATTACATTGTTCTGTAAGCAATTGCCATTTAAGGGACATTTGTTCTTTGTTCTGTAGTTACACATGGGCTTGATTTGTTTGGGTGGTTTGTTGTTTCTTTTCCTGTTGTGCTTTTTTATTTGTGTCATGTTCTCAGTGCAACTGTATGTGATCAATTAGGGTTTTTTTTTTAGATGTGAACAATCAATTTTAAATATAAATATGCAAAATAAATTTGAAAATTTGTAAAAAGAAATTGTAATGATCAGAGAGTATAATTTATTCATATTTGCTCTAATTATAATTCATCAAAAATTTCCATAGGTAAAAAAAGAAAAAAATCTGCATAATAAAACCAGTACAAGACTTACAAGAATTAAGACTAGAAGTTGTTGTTTCACAATCTTGGATTAGTTAAGCAGAAACCCACTAGTATGAAGCATTTTGAATTAAATTAACTAATTTTAATCAGACTCCCTTGCTAACCATTACCAAGACTAGTAGTTGTTTACTAAGCTTAGATTAGTTTAGCAGAAAGTCAGGTGTACAAGGCACTTTGAATTAAATTCACTACTCTGTATTCAATCAGACTCGCTTGTTAACCATTACCAAGTGTAGTAGTTGATACCATATTTCTGTACAAAATGATTCAAGATAATTTTCCACTGTAAAACAAAGAATTATTTGTTGTTTGACTTCAAAGGAAATACTCACAGATTTATATTGATCAGAAGGATGTAGATCAATCCGGATGATATCAAATGTTCCAGATAAACTACTTTCACCTAAAAGGTGCAATGAAAAGAATTATAAATTTCATTATCAAATTGAAAAAGCATACATCAGGTTTTTTTGCCAATTTCTAAAATGACACATTTACATTCAACACTGCCTAAACAAAGAGTAATTTTACAAAGCAATCTAAAACATTCTGTAATTTTACAAAGCAATCTAAAACATTCTGTTTTTACTTCATTCCTAAGTTCATTCCTAATCCCACAACTAAATCAGCAATACTTTGTCCCAAAGTGTGAATTGTCTTTAATCATTATGTGCATCTACACTTAATGAATGAATTATTGATTTTAGAGTTTAATCAAAATAGTGATTTCATTATATGACTATTTTTAATATAACAGAGAAACTAAAGTTAAAGTATTAATGTTTTCTTAAAATACTATTAAGTGAAAGTTAATATTTAAAAATGATTAACACCAGATAATTTAAATCATTTTCTTGAAATCTGTAGGCAACAGAAACTTTCAATTCATGATATATAATCAATTCTAATTAAATCTAATTCTATAGATGTTCAAGATATAAAATCTTTTGTTGCAAACAAGTGTTGTAACATTGGTTAAAAAATCATGTGGTTTCAAATCTGACAGATAAACAGTTAATCTCTTTAACATTAAGCTTCTATGTAGGAAGCTTTAAACAAAAACTAATATAAATATGACAATACTTGTATTACTACCTAGAATTCATGAATTTAAGCAAACTATGAGGTTGGCAGCAAGGTCTCAACATTTTACAGTTGAAAATGGCTAGATGTAACCATAGGTTCTATGCACTAACAGTTTATTGTCTCACACTTCTCAACTGTGGAACTCTCTTCTGGCTTTTTACTTTCCAGTCAACTTTGATCTTCAAAAATTTCAAATGCAATGTCAAACATTATCTCCTGTCTTCTTAATACTTATTCTTTTGTTTTCTCACTTTAATAATGTGTTTTTCTCATATTCTCTTACACTCAGTAATCCCTTACATCTTAGTGACTTCATTGGCTTGCTTGGGGTGAAATGATTAAAAAAATAATAACTAATCTGTCAAAAACAGTTTATAGGGTCATTATCTACAGTAAAACATGAAATGGATAAGAATAGAAAAGTAACAGGTGAAAGATTCATGTTAAAACAAAATGTTACTAATTCTGATAGAACTGTTGATTCCAATCTTGACTAGGAATGACTGCAAAACACTTGCTCCGCCTCAATTTATTGGCAGAAGCACACAAAGGCATGCTGTGATTTTTTCCTAGCCAATAAAATAGGCCTGTTCTCAGTTTCATCTGACTCAGTCCCAGTCTGACTTGTCTTGAAGTCAGAATGCTATGTTCACTTGTACGAACTTACTTTTGTGTGTCAACCGCAATTAGTTTGTGAATTTTTTGCCATATTACAGTTGCTTTACCTTATTGCTGTTAATTCACGTTGCATATATTGTTTGTACACTTTATATTTTTGCCCAGTTCTTTTCTTTTTCTTGTTATTGCTTATTGAAAAAACTTTGTGAATTCTGTTGGACAGTAATGTCACTTATTTTGCATTTAACTATGGCTACTCCTCAAACCCCACCACAAATTAAATCAATCTCAAAAACAAATTAGTTATCTCTATCTATAAAAGGCAGGATGTGTGTGTGTGTGTGTGTGTGTGTAACGAATGCACAGCCGCAATTTTCAACGGATTTTCACCAAAATTTACATGTACATGCTCCAAGTTAGTGGGAAGGCCAAGACCAACTTTGCATTTCCCAACTCCCATCGATAGTGGAAATAATTGATTTTTTTATGCTTCTACAGTAGTTTTCATGTAGTTTGCGGCCATTTTCTACTGGCCAGAGTGAGAACCAATAGCTGGCTGCCACGAATATGCAGGAAGATTCTATTGGCCAGCGTGGGAGCCAACAGCTGACTAACACGAATGTTAACTAGCATGCTAGCATGCAAAAAAAATTGATAGCTGCATTTGTCACAAGTGGGAAAAATTTAAATCTGCATGGCACTTTACTCCAATTGGCTCATTCGCTTGCTTAAACTCAACGTTGATTCTGATTCTGCAGAACTGGGTTGGGTGTGAAAAAGTATTTGTTGTTAACATTCTTTTTCATTTGGTTTTTCCAGTTACGAGTCCTTTTTTAAAGCTGATTGTTTTGTGTTCATTTTGTTTATTTCTTTTTTTCGTAACAGATTTAATGTTTAGTATAGAGCTTAGAAAAAATTTGCAGTGTGAGATAGGCAAGAAGTAAGGCATGTAGCAACATCAGCACGGCAAAGGGCACTCATTTAAAGGCAAGGAAGAACAAAAATATTTTAAGTGATAGCGATTGCTGTATGAGTCGTACGATTTTTGAATCAAGCATGGGCAACACCGGGCCATGCTGCTAGTAAACTATAAAAAAGTTTGTGGTTCACTCTAGTTTATACTCAGACAGACCAAAAAGAAAATACATAATTTTAAAATGGATATCACCATTCAGCAGTAGAATGCTGGCATATTGTTTTAATATATCTACAAAAAGATTAAAACAGAAAATTAGATTGAAACTTACAGGTTACATTATATTCAAGATATCTCTTGCTGAAAAGCTCATTAAATAAGATTGTAACTATTCTTATTGAGAAGATTTTTTCCAACCTTACCTTGAAAAATGCTGACCTAGTTTACGTAAAATAAATAAAAAGTAGCATTATAATTATATAGTTTCATGGTACAAAAAATAGCAAGACAAAACATGTATCTCATTTAATGTTTGTTTTTTAAAAAAAAGACTAACAATTAAGAGTCCATATCAACAGAACTTCAACTAAGAAAGAACAATTTAAAAAGGACACCCTGACATTCAAAACAAGTTTCAACATTTAAATCTGTATCATAAAAAGATTTTATACATTTAGAAATATAACTACTCCACTAGATCTTATGATACACAAATAAATAAGTAAAAATATATGACAAAAATATTGTAGATATAAGATGTTCATAAGGACAGCAGCAAAAGGATTTGATTCCAAATGTTCAATTGCATAATAAAGCCCTTAAATTGTTTGTCTATAAGGTTAAGGTTAGGACTAGAGATATTCAATTCTAGTAGTATTGCTGTAATTATTTGACATGTTAAGGCGTGATTTTGTTTTGTTGATCTACGGATTTTGAATAATGGCTCATTCTGCAGATTGGACCAACTAGATCAGGAGTGTCTGGTGTCTATCTACCTCTAGACAGACATCTGTGGTTACAGCACTGAGGTAGGCAGTAGCAGTGGTGGTGATCTGTACTGAGTATGGTACATGACAGCAAACATGTGTAACAGAGAGAGTTTGGAAAAGACACACACACACACACACACACACACACACACACACACACACACACACACACACACACGTATGTTTTTTTTTAAATTGGAGTGAATGTGAGTATTGAAATTAGAGCAGAACAATTTTGTTTATTGGTGGGAAATCTGATCTAGCCCATTTGGAATTGAGTCATTAGAAAGACAATGGAAAATGATCGAAATAATTTTTATTGGTTAAAATTTGAAATAGAGCTTACTAAAGCTTTGAGGAACTTTGAAATTCACATGATTTGGGGTTGAAAGCTATGACAATCGCGTGCGGGCCAAGGGTCAATTTATGATCAGCCAGGTTTATCTATATAAACATGCACAGAAATCTGTTGACAGAGTGGTTGGCTCATCTGCCGTCAAGTGCAGTCAAGCTGGGTGGAGAAATATCAGAGATTGAAAGTGACGTCAGAAATTGGAATGAAGCATCCGCTAACAGGTACTGTTGAGATAAGTACCACTGCTTCTGCTACCACGAATATTACTACTATTGTTACTACTGCTAAGGAGGAACGCCACTATAAACTAAGCTGCACACAGAAATCTTATTCCTCCATCGCACGAGTCATGTATTGTTCTGAGATGATTTAACAAGTTAATCATAACACACCCTCTCTCTCTGTCCAGAATCCAGTGTGCACGTTTTTTTTATATCAATTACTTTTCTTTTCTGTAGCCATTTCTTTTCTCTACTATTCTTTTCTGCTATATAAAACACATTAGCAATTCAATCATTGAATAGTTGTTTGTCCGGCTTTCTGTAGATGTTAATTTTTTTTTTTCCTGCATTCTAAATTTCTTAGCACAGACTCTCCAGCCGTGTGTGGCACCATTTACGAAGCAGAGAAAGGAAAAGAAAGAAAAGAAGGCAGAAAGAAAGGCGAGACGAATCGTGGGTGATCAGCAGAACACACACACAGCTAAGAGACAATGAATATATTGATAAGTAACCATGGCGAAAGGGTGTCATTAAAATGACAGGGAAATTCTGGGTAAGAAGAAAGGGAAAGAAAGAAAGAAACAGATGTGTTTTGATAACGGCTGTGTTATCTAGGAGTACGTAAACAAAACGGCTGCAGGATCCACAACGAAAAATTCAATTGAAAACGTTAATTTTGATAATTGACAAAACACAGGTGTAACTACAGGACTTTGGGAAGATATGAAAAATTAAAAACCACACAAGCCGTGTCTGCTGACCGAATTTTTTTTCGACAAAACAACTTTGGCCTGCGATAATAAAATTATGTTATCAGAAATATGTACCGAAGGAAAATGAATGGGGACCCAGAAGTGTTTATTCTCCTTCCTTGGAGGCAACAGACTGACTGAAATTTTAGAGATATTTCTTTTTTGAGGCCGTGTTAAGAAGACCACCCATTTTGATAATTAGCAATAAAATACCTGACAAAAGCCACGTGTAGAACAAGAGTTGTCATATTGTCTGTTTGCAGATAGAAAAATGATAACGGCGATTAAAGCGGAAGAAAAGGGAAAGAGAAGAGATAATTTTTTTTAGTTAAGCAAGATATTTTTTTTTCCCCCCGAAACAAAGCCGCGGATTGTTCACGCCCGACTAAGACATCATTGGTCAAGTGCTGATCACGTGACGCACGAAGGAGGAGGAAAGATACCCGACTAAGACCTCATTGGCCGA